TGCACAAGTGCAAGAATTCTCGAAAGAGTAATAAATTCGGTACTCAGAGAGCCGCGTCTCATCACACAGCGCTGAGTTATTGCAGCGTCTTATTGCACCTCAACGGACAAATACACACAAAATTAAGTTACGAGTATCATCGTAAGCGCAGTCTTAACTGAGTTAAAATAAAAAGTTTTAAATGAACGTAAACTGTTGGGAGAAAATCGGATGTGTGTGTCAGATCCCTGCATTTGGTCTGATAGCGACAGTAGTTTTTAATATATAGGCTATGTTGCTATCAATTAATGTTAATTAAGAACAAAAGAAAAATCACAGATCTGCTCTTGACTGAATAACCCCATCATCTTTAATAAGGATTAATCTATAAATATTTGGAAAAACGGTAAATACCGCTCCGCATTAAGCAAAATCTGCTGAGAGAAATTATATGAAAGCTATATGAATGAATTTTTTCAGTCTTCAGAAACGTTTCGCTGGCATTTGCTTTTCATCTTCCCTCTGTGTAATGCCTAATAAAGCGATGTTTATAAGCTCAGTGCTGCTTTGTTTACAGTGGTTACTGTAGAAACATTAAAACATTTCTGCCGTTTCATCAGCGCCACCTGCTGTCAGACAGTGGAGTTACATTTTCATTCCGTTTGTCTGCCATTTGTGTGAGGAGCGTCTTGCTGCAGCCTGCGGTGGACATCCAACCCCGCCCACATGCAAACTTGAAGTCACAAGCCACGCCCATCTCCAAATACGTCACATTCTTATTATTTTGAAACCGGAAGAAGCATCCATAAGAAGATAAGTCAAATTGTTTGCCAACCGCTAAAAAGAAGTTTGCCTGTTGGTACACTCTAAAAAATGCTGGGTTAAAAAGGGACAAACCCAGCTATTTTGAACAAAACAACCCAACCGCTGGGTCAAAACAACCCAATAGCTGGGTTTGTCCCTTTTTAACTCAGCATTATTTAGTGTGCAAGTAAAAAAATCTTTGGTCTTCACGAAGACTTAAAACGTTGACAACTTCAAGAATGTGTGCGTCGTTTGTGTGCATATGCATAAACAACAGTTCAGTATGCTTAGTATGTGTTTTGAACTTCACACAGGCACGTTATTACTTAGCTAGCAACATATAAATGTGTGTGTGTGTGTTTTAGTGTTATCCAGCAAGATCCAGCATGAAATGATGTGGTTGCTCAACCAAGATACTGTGCAAGTGTTCTGTGATCAGTGTATATCATTAAAAATAATCGTGACTGGGGGGCAGGTAAGTGCATATGTGTGAGAGGGATGAAGTGTGTATATGAGTCGGTGAGAGAGTTATGTATTATCTAATAAAAAAGTTATAAAAAAAATTGCACATTCAGTCAGCATTCATTTTATGTCGTAAGAATCAGTATGTGTTTATTAGTGCACTGATACTGTCACAAATCAGGCCTCTGTGGCTCTCTCCGACGGCCTCCGGAGGGCACCCTCTCCCGAGTACTAGCGTTCTTGGACTACATTTCCCATAATACCCCGTACCTGAGACTGATTACTTGCACAGGTGTTTCTCCTTAGCTTCCCCATTTAAACAGCTCCCAGACACTCGGTATTTGTGAAGTCTTGTATTGCCCGGGCTACATTTCTGAGCGTTTATCCCGTCTCGACTTATCTTGTGTATTACCTTGGACTGTTATTACTCGTGTGATGCTCTGCCGCCTGCCTCGACCCTTGCTTTGTTTCTGTTTACTCTCCTGGATTATCCCTGCTGCTCTTGACGCTGTTGATTGATTACTGCCTGTTTAACTCTGCCTTTGATTCAAATAAAAGCTGCAAATGGATCCAAATGCCTCTGACTCCACGTTACAGAAGACTTCGCCACACACGGAACCAGCAGCGATCTATCAGCTCACCCCCGAGGTTTCTGCCCAGGCCTCCATGTTAGCATCTCATCAACAGCAGCTGCAACGACTTACCTCGCTCACTGAGGAGATGGTGAGGATGCTACAAGCCCTTTGCGTCACCATGCCTGAGTCCAGCATTCCTCCATCCGTTCCGTCACAAACGGTTCCCAGTCACTCGTCGACCAGCCCACGTCTGGCTTTCCCCGAGAAGTTTGACGTCTCACTGGAAAGATGTAAGGGCTTTCTATTACAATGCTCCAAGTTTGTAGATCAACAACCGCAGTTATACCCCACCAACGATAGTCGGGTTTCATTTGTTTGCTCTGTTAACTGGACGAGCGCTTGACTGGGCCACTGCTGCTTGGGAAGGGAGACTGCTGTCATTCCCATCATTTGAAGGCTTTCTGAGACGTTTTCGAGCATTCAGCGGGCGGAAAGGAGCCTGGCGAGCAGTTACTCGCTCTGCAACAGGGACGAAGCACGGCTGCGGATTATGCTCTCTCATTCCGCACTCTCTCAGCACAGTCAGGATGGGAGGACGAACCACTTAAACTGCTGTATCGCAAGGGACTCACGGTCGAGTTACAGTCGGAGCTCGCCTGCCGTGATGAGGGGAGGACCCTCAAACAGTTTGAGCTCTCCATCCGCATTGATAATTTAATGCGGGCACGACGTGCTCCTCGTCCATTTTCTGTGTATTCTCCAGCGGTCACAGCTTCCGTTGAATTGGAACCTATGCAGATTGGTTTCACTCGTCTCACCGAGGAGGAACAAGAGGGAAGAATGCGGAATCGTCTCTGTCTCTACTGCGGTCTATCCGGCTATATGAGAGCCTTCTGTTCTACCTGACCTGCCGCTCGAGGTTACGCTACGGTGAGTGCCACTCCTGATTCCATTAACGGTTTAGAAGTTCCCATTGCTCTAACGTTTAATGATAAGTGCACGGAGACCGTAGCATTGATAGATTCGGGGGCTGCGGGGAAATTCATTGACATAAGGTTTGCCAATACTCATAGCCTTCCTCTTGTTCCATGTGAATCCCGGGTGGCAGTGGCAGCCTTAGATGGACGTCCTCTGGGCACAGGACAGATCAAGTTCATAACCCAGGATCTGTGTTTGCGAACTGGCATACTTCACACGGAAACCATCCGCCTATTTGCTATTGACTCTCCTCTGAATCCCACCATCCTGGGCCTGCCCTGGCTAGAAAGACACAACCCCCGGATCTCATGGATGACTAAACAGATACTACAATGGTCTGACTCCTGCCAACAGAATTGTTTGCTCACCAGCCGATCGCACTCCTCTCCCCGACCAGCCCAGATAACCGATGATACCCTCTGAGTACCATGACCTCGCTGACGCTTTCAGTAAGACCAAGGCCTCACAACTTCCTCCTCACCTGCTCATGTGCACCTTCAATGCGCCATCCGCAGGGTCAAGGAACAGGCCAACCGTCACAGGAGGTCAGGTCCCGCTTACACCCCAGGACAATGGGTCTGGCTCTCCACAAGAGACCTTCGCCTTCGGCTCCCGTGCAAGAAGTTGAGTCCCAGGTACGTAGGTCCATTTAAAATCATTAGACAGATTACACCTGTATCTTACTGTTTGGCTCTTCCCTCCAATTATCATATCTCACCCACCTTTCATGTTTCCCTGCTTAAGCCCGCCGGCTGTCCGAGAGGAGAGAGGGACCAGGAGGAGGCCGTGAACGAGAGTCCCCCTCCCATCAGGCGTACCAGGTACAGGAAATCCTGGACTCCCGACGCCGGGGCATGTTACTTCAATACCTCACTGACTGGGAGGGGTATGGTCCTGAGGAAAGATCGTGGGTTAATTCTCAGGATATCCTGGACCCTTGACTCAATACGAAATTCCATAGAACCCACCCTCACAAACCAGCCCCTCGCTCCCGTGGAAGGCCTCGGCGTCGTTCACCTCCTCGTTTCAGGAGCCGCTCGCAGGCGGGGGGCTCTGTCACAAATCAGGCCTCTGTGGCTCTCTCCGACGGCCTCTGGAGGGCACCCTCTCCCGAGTACTAGCGTTCTTGGACTACATTTCCCATAAAACCCCATACCTGAGACTGATTACTGGCACAGGTGTTTCTCCTTAGCTTCCCCATTTAAATAGCTCCCAGACTCTCAGTATTCGTGAAGTCTTGTATTGCCCCAGCTACATTTCTGAGCGTTTATCCCGTCTCGACTTATCTTGTGTATTATCTTGGACTGTTATTACTCGTGTGATTCTCTGCTGCCTGCCCCAACCCTCGCTTTGTTTCTGTTTACTCTCCTGGATTATCCCTGCTGCTCTTGACGCTGTTGATTGATTACTGCCTGTCTAACTCTGCCTTTGATTCAAATAAAAGCTGCAAATGGATCCAAATGCCTCTGACTCCACGTTACAGATTCTTACGACATAAAATTAATGCTGACTGAATGTGCAATTTTTTTGTAACACTCATCTCCCCACACACAAAACACTCACTCACACACGTGATATTTTTAATGATATACACTGATCACAGAACGAGGGCACCCTCTCCCGAGTACTAGCGTTCTTGGACTACATTTCCCATAAAACCCCATACCTGAGACTGATTACTGGCACAGGTGTTTCTCCTTAGCTTCCCCATTTAAATAGCTCCCAGACTCTCAGTATTCGTGAAGTCTTGTATTGCCCCAGCTACATTTCTGAGCGTTTATCCCGTCTCGACTTATCTTGTGTATTATCTTGGACTGTTATTACTCGTGTGATTCTCTGCTGCCTGCCCCAACCCTCGCTTTGTTTCTGTTTACTCTCCTGGATTATCCCTGCTGCTCTTGACGCTGTTGATTGATTACTGCCTGTCTAACTCTGCCTTTGATTCAAATAAAAGCTGCAAATGGATCCAAATGCCTCTGACTCCACGTTACAGATTCTTACGACATAAAATTAATGCTGACTGAATGTGCAATTTTTTTGTAACACTCATCTCCCCACACACAAAACACTCACTCACACACGTGATATTTTTAATGATATACACTGATCACAGAACCTTTCACAGTGACTTGGTTGAGCAACCACATATTTTCACTAAGTCTTGCTGGATAACTCTGCGTATGTGACAAATTATCTTTGTATCATTCTATATTAATGGAAAGGTCACATAATGATTGTCTTTGTTTGTTTGTCTTGTTTTACAGCATTCTATGCATTTTCGGTCCTAGCCTGATGCAGAGCAGTTCTGCCGGGATGAGGGGTCCTGCTGCAGTTTCACCAGTAAAGAAAATTACTCGTTACAATTCACTTGGAGGACCACATAAGCCATGAAGTGGCGCATGGAGATATGGTGGGAGCATTTCTTTAGATACTGTATTGATTGATTTTTGTGGTTTTAAAATCATAAATATTTTTGTATGTAGGATGATGAGGTAAATACTATTTAGTGGACACACATGCCCCCCAACACGCACGTATTCTCTATTTTTAACAGGAGTGCCAAGAGGACATAAAGTGGAAGTCTGTGAGGGACATAAGGTCCAGTGTAGTGCTGGATACAGAGTCACTGGGAGTTATTCCGTGGGGAGGTGACAGGGCCTGCCTTTCTCCAGATGGACAGTAAAAATCAACAGAATGCCATCAAAGATTACCTGGAGGAGAATCGGATGAAGCAAGCGATGTCTTATTAATCTCTCAGGACCTGAAGTGGGGCATTCATATTGACTCCATTGTTAAAAAGGCCCAGCAGAGGCTGTACTTCCTTCGCGAGAACTGTCTATCCTATCATTCAAATGTTAACACTTTATGATAAGTGGAACACATCTTTAGAAAATTAAATGACAATTATGAATTTATAAAAATATGTTGTGACTTTTACAATAACAAAATTGAATTGTCCCCTTTAAATTTGATCAATTTAAAAGTTGTCTTAGGTGGGTCAAAATCGATCATAATAAATGTGAATTTATCTCATTACATAAATGAATAAGATACGGTGTAAAGATTTTTATTACAATTAGCCTAAATTAATCAACCAATGCAAGCATTTTACAGGCTGTTGTGGTGACAAAATATTAGATAGCCTACATTAAATATATTAGATTTAAGTTGTGCCATTTTAGCCTAGACATCCTTTAAAGAAATATGAAAACGTGTACTAGTAAAACGAAAGAGAACATAATTTTATATAAAAATTGGCCATTTATTTATTTATTTTTTTGTAAATCATGGATGGAAAACAAGCTAATGCGCATTCTAGAAATATGTAGAACTGTTTCTGGAACAGATAAAATGCCTATAATTTATCCTTTTGATTTTGATCCTTTTCTTTAAAATAATTTAAAAGCTAAAATGTGAGGTTTGTCGTTTTGTAAAACTTTCTTTTGTCAAAAATGTAAACGTAGTACATGTTCTAACATGTTATGTTGTAAGTCACCAAACCAAGATTTTTTGTTTATTTAAAATCTGATCATCATATTTAATATTACACTCTAAATGTTTAACCCAACCTTCTGGGTAGTAACACAACCGCTGGGTCAAAACAACCCAATTGCTGGGTTTGTCCCTATTTTACCCAGCACTGTGTTGTATTTAACCCAGCATTTTTTAGAGTGTACCATGATAATAATGATAACTGTGATCGTTTCAGTCACTATAATTGTGATATGAAATTTTCACACTGAAAAAGTGATTTGAATTTTTAATATAAATTTACACATCATTTGTTCCTGAATAGTTACAGTTATACCTACCTGAAAAAAAAAACTTTAGTAGTTTTGTGCTAATTTGTTAATTTATTACTGTTTATGCGAAATTATTTATTTAAATGCAAGGCTACACCAGTCAAAAAAAAGAAACAATAACTTTTTCTTTTAATTGATAATTAAAATGGTATGAAAATCGACTATTACCCAACATCCCCATTATATATATATATATAAATAATTGAGTATGGTTTTTTAATGTAATGTTATCATGGAAATGTGTGATCATTTAAATATTAAGATATTTATTTATTCAAAATGACTATCTTTGGCATCCAAGAATGTACTATACCTGAAGAACCCTTTATTCTGAAGAGATTAATGGTTCTTCACCCCTGCTCTTTCAAAGCAAGATTCTTTATGGAACTCAACAAAAATGTGGCAAAAGTGGTTTGTTGTTGTTACAAGCCAAATAAAACGGCTGTTTAGAATGTATTCTGACTACTTTTTGATTAGTTTTGATTACTTTTGGCATCGTTTATCACACATTGATTTGAATAGGATTATTTTGTACTATATTGATATTGTTACAAGGCTGACGAGACGTGAGACGTCCGGATCCATTCGCAAAGCTTTTATTGTGGAGAAGACAGACATGGTCATGAAGCAGGCAGGGTCAAACTGAGGCAGACAGGTATATGGCGGGCAAAACACAAGAATAATCCTAGGGCTAGCGTGGGTCGATGAACTGCAGACAGAATCAGAAGGGGCAAGACTAGGGGAGAAATCCAGGAAACCAGGCGAAGATCAGAAACCGAGAACGAGGCTAAGGCTAAGGCTAAGGCTGGGAAACGACTGAGGGCTCTGTAGTGTAGCTATCACTAGGGTAGTGATAAACGCTGAAACAATACTTGAGATCAACACCCAACACCCCCTATATATATATATATATATATATATATATATATATATATATATATATATAATTGAGTATGTTTTTTTAATGTAATGTTATCATGGAAATTTGTGATCATTTAAATATTAAGAGATTTATTTATTCAAAATGACTATCTTTGGCATCCAAGAATGTACTATACCTGAAGAACCCTTTATTCTGAAGAGATTAATGGTTCTTCACCCCTGCTCTTTCAAAGCAAGATTCTTTATGGAACTCAACAAAAATGTGGCAAAAGTGGTTTGTTGTTGTTACAAGCCAAATAAAACTGCTGTTTAGAATGTATTCTGCCTACTTTTTGATTAGTTTGAATTACTTTTGACGTCGTTTATCACACATCGATTTGAATAGGATTATTTTGTACTATATTGATATAAAGTAATAATAAAAAAAAAGAAAATATATTGTGCTTTAAACATTACACTATGTAAAGCTTTCCAAAGACACATAACACATTAAATGACTCACTAAGTGATTACTGAAATAATAATTAAAATGTGTTTGTCAGAAGTGGGTTAGATAAGCAAGGATGAAACAACAAGCATAAGAAACTCAATTATTATTATTATTATTTTTTTAGATTTGCTGTTTAATCTTTTGCAGTGAATGCAGAGTTTATACTGCACAGTAATGATTTTGCCAAATTCCAAAAGTATATACCAAGCTGTAGGAGAGAAAAATGCAAATGAGAATTTAGGGAGAATCAGTTATGAATAACTGCAATCCACTATGTGAATAATATCTAATCATAATTCATAACATTATAAAATGTAATGTAATGTAATCTAATTACAACTAATTAATGTTTGTAACCCGAGTGCCAGATCATATAGTCAATTACTAGCCAGCACTACACACACACACACACACACACACACACACACACACAC